ACATACTCTTTTTTAGGTTCATTTAGGTTCTTTTGATAACGATAGCAGAAAATAGCTATCGAAACGTCAAGGTAATTTTTCAAATTAATTTCTCTTCTAATTGGAATTTTCTCTTACAGCTTGAGCCTAAGTGTGTCGCAGGATACCCTCTAGGTGATAGTTCTTGATTACTTTTTGATGAATAATTCGTTCTTATTGCGAAATAGGAGCACTATTTATCAATCTGTAATAAAAKACGWGAGGAAATTCTGTCTTTTTTAAAGACAAAAATTTTTGAGGCGAAATACCCAAAAAGAAGTTTGTAAAAAATGAATCCGCCTCAACAATATAGAACTTATCTACAAAAAACTTCATACATAAGACTTCCTTTCGTTTTGATCTATCTAGAACGTTGCTTTATTGATAAAAGTTAATATTGTATTATTGATTGAGTGTCATAACAAACATAATAAACGATTTAACGGGACTGGTAATTTGTCTCAGCTAAAAGTGAACGGTTTTCGAAATACACGAGGTGAAAATTAATATTATCAAATCGAAATAAATAATTTCCTCGTTTGTAAAACTACTATCTGAACAAAATCTCGGCGCGGAAGGTTTTAGGGTGCGCAAAATTCGAATCCATTAAAACATTCTATGCATATTGAAAAAGGTGTTGTGAGAGTTATGTTAATCAATCAATCAATGTTTTCTGTGGAGACCAAATGTGCATTCCATTCTGTAATAATATCACAAAGATTTAGGACAATCATGGCCTTATGGGTATCTCAAACTTTCTTTTTAGTTATGCAACCTCGCCCCTTGATTTTTTTCCTGCTAGCAAATAAAAACTGTTAGTCTAACTTTAAAAAAATGATCACTTTTCAATTGCGAAAATCTTACCGACTTTTTGACTTTTGTGCTTACTAATGTGGTAAACTTATTGTAAATATTATCAATAATTCAAAACACCGAATTCACAAAACCAAAATCATGATTCACACATGCAAATTGCCTAGTCCCTCCAGACCATGCCGTTTGCCGTTAAAATTGCAAATTAAAAATGTCTAATAGCACTATAATTAGCATATTTTGATGCCAGACAACAACATTAATAACAGTATTTTTTTTTAATTAAGTAAAGTTAAGGAATATTTATCTGCATCATAGAAAGTGTATACTTCCACCAAACAATGTTTTCTTCGTTAGATTAATAAATTGTTGTATTTTAAAAATCGCAGTTTAAAGTGAACAGTTTTTAAACCAATGTTACAGCTACAACGCGGCGTTTTAGGGCTAAAAACGAGCCTGTAAAAGTTCGATCGCAAAACTTCATTATGATAAATTGCGTAACTGTACATTTCTCTAACTGTTTCTCTACGTTGGTGAATTTGGGCACACACAGAAGTACTTTAATCGCCGATTAATGTTGTTAATGACTTTATGTCCCTGGAGGGAGATTTGCTCACTGTGGTTCGGCACCAATATAGCTAAAATTAGCTCATTCATCGGTTCCTTAACAATAGGTTTTAATTCAGAATTCAATCTTTGCAGCACAAAAAGAAAATGTAACGTGACTTTGAATGATTAAATACATTATAATTGCTATTTGGTAATCGGACATAAAATATATTGTACTTTATTGTTGTTTATAATTAACACAATTATATATAGCAAATTATACCTTAAATACATTTTATATAAATAAAAAAGATAAAACAGTCATTCTCATTGAGCCAGAAAATTCATAAAAACTAGTTAATAATTTAAGTAAGGTTTGGAAGATGACTTTAAAAGATTTTCGATGATCATCAACAAACAGAATCTTTATCATCAGTAATTTTTGGTCAAACAAGAACCAAACTAAGTTCGAAAACATACAATCATGTTTCTATGTTGGCATATTGTAAAATTCCCCGATAAAAGCTAGAATAGCAAAAAATAGGTTTTGACGAAATATACTTTAATAGCTTCTGTTCTTGCTACATTCGTTTATTGAAGACGTTTAATTCTTCCAATGCGTCCTGGCCTGGCAGCTGGCAACAGCTCATATAGTATTCGAGATCGATCGAACATATGACTTTCAGTATTAAAAATCCATGTTTCCATTATATTAGTCGATCGTTTATTTATGATCATATATAAACTGCAAAATAATATCCATTGAACATGAAATTATCTGCTTCTTTTGCTGCTATAATTTGTAACACATTGCTTCACGTTTCTACAACTTCAGTGGCCGGCATTCTCGGAAAGTCCATCTATTTCGTGACTCGAGCTTAAGTCAAGTCTCTATCGATTTGTACGTTTTCTTGACGATTTAGCTGAATGCTTATAACTATTTTAATCATTTTTTTTCTCAGTCAGAATGTTCCAGTGTGGTCCAGTTTAATGAGCGGAAACTTCAAGAAACAGTAAAGAATCGAAATACGGTAAGAGTTTGCATAATACACTGTAATAAAAGTAAGAAGTGGACTCAAGAAAAATTAACTTTGTTTGATTTGCGATAACTATAGCGAAAATGTTTCATTTTGTAGCTAATGTTTTTAGTTTTATGAAACGAACACTTTTTGATTTGCATTCGTATTAGTGAGCCCTTCGTATTAATATTCCCGTAAAAATAAAATTTCTCGAGTTAATAGAAAAATTTTAAGTCTCAAAATGATTACAAAATCGCCGTTGTAGCATTTCTCCCTCGTATGTGCTACAACTTTGTTGTTACAACGTTTGTAACACTGTGGATCAACTGTGTGTTTCTTTTGTCTTGTTTATAAATTGTAAAAATTTGAATTTGTTATTAAGCAAGAATATAAGTAGTGGAATGTTTAAACTACACATTGGCACTTTATTTGGCCGAATTTTTCATAAGCCACCTTTGAAAAATCACTAGTAAAAAATGTTACATTTGTACCCGATCTCCACTAAGCACTAACTGAAAATAAACGCCAAATAGCGCTAAGAGGCAACAAAATCTCTCAGAACTCAACAATTACTTTTCTATGAAAGCTGATGACGCAACCGAAAAGTTCAAATATCCAGCAAGCAGAAATCGGAATCAGGGGAAGAAAGCATGGGGAACAGGCATAAATCATCTCCTGTTATCGATGACTCACCGTGTGTTGTTGTTCTTTCTCTTATCATTGTTGTTCCCCTGCTGTTGGGTGGCGGCGACGGCGCTATTTTGCGCCTTGCTGCCCCTGCCGCCCTTCGACGCCGATTTTCCGCTGCTCGTAGTCGTCGCTCCCGACGCTGTCGTCGTGACGCCCGCCGGGTTTGTTTTCCTGCGGACGTTTTTAGTATTTGGCAATTTGTTGTCTTTCTTCCACTTCATTCGCCTGGAACAAAACATGCCTGGAATTAGCACGTCAAGTAACAATCGACAATTCAAGGAAAAAGGCACTTTTAGACTAAACGTGATTCATCTCACTTAATTATTGTTAATAGCTAAAATAGTTCATGCTTCTTCATGTCTTAAAATTTCATAGATTCGCTCAACATCATTTTTTCAACGCGTCTAAGGTATAAAGAGATTAAACTTAGATACACAGATACTGGATAACAGCATTCAAAGCTAAATAGTTGTTCACAAAAAGATTAGAGGAGTTCTAAATGGTTGAGGTGTATTCTTGTTTGCTTTTTGTTGGGTGTGGCGCCTCAAAAGGTCTTGTAAAATCCTACAAAAGGAAAAGTTTTAATCAAATTCCGTCATGGACTAATTATATTAAAAACGCACAATTAAAAAAAAATAAAATTAAACTTGTTTCAAATCTTTTATCCCGGACATTTCAGATACGAAATGAGTAGGTGACAAATGCAATAGGAGAACTATCCTCAAGACTGAAAATACAATTAGGAGCAACTTTGAAATGTTGCTACATGATAAAATTGAGAATACAACAAACGTGATGTATCAGACACTTTGTTAATGTGAAGAAATGGCAAAAAATTAACTATTTGTATAAAAAAGGAAAACTCAGAGCGATTTTTACAGTTTGGCATTCATTTAGCCCGCCGTTTGATAAGAAATTTGTTCTTTATTGTGAAATAAGAGCAGTTTATCAAATGAATAAAAAGACGGGAGGAAATTGTTTATAAAAGGTAAAAATTCCCAACGGAAAGGTTTTGAAAACAAAAAGATCAGTTTGGGGTTATTTTGTAAGACTTCGGCGATTAATGTGCTAGATAATGTTAATTTCATTACTTTTTTAGTTACTTTCAGATACTCAGCTAGACGAAATTCAATGGCAGTTTTTCAAATTTCAAAATATTCAGATTTCTTACTGTTTTTTCAAATAACCTATTGGAGAGAAGAATAAAAATCAAACTTAACTTTAAATAGCATTTGAAGTAAATTATCAGATATTTTCGGGTTTGTTTGGCAGTTAAATAACTTGACCTAAACCGACTGGCGGTCTGCAAATCTTCAGGCCCTTCTCAAACTTCTCAAAGTTTTTAAAGATTCAAAATAATGCTTCTTTTCATAATTATTTCCTCTTGAAATATGTGCAAATATTACTTTGTTCCCTTTCATTGCAAAGTATTTTACTCTTCTAAACATGTAAAACTGAACATCTACTGTATTTGAATTTTGTGCCCACATCAAATTCCAATAATAAATTGCTACGTTGCATTTTGGAATTCTAAAAATAACTTGCATGTGTCACTTCAGCTACTAATTCTACTCAATCTTGTGAGAATGTTTTCTAAAGCGCGATTCTTGCAATAGCTGCATTTTCAGAAAAAAACTTGTACTTCTACACTATACATTTTCAGCGCAATATATCTTATCAGGACAGGAACCGCAAGAAAAATGTGAAACAATCATGACCTATATACATGACTAGGCTAGTTTTTTCACTTGTCATTCCTCTCAAAAATAGATATAAATCATGACAAAGGAAATTTACCGGTTTTGGAACCAAATTTTTATTTGGCGTTCGCTGAGAACCAACGCATGGGCGATCTCTATCCGCCTTCTTCTCGTCAGGTAGCGATTATAATGGAACTCCTTTTCTAGCTCGAGGATCTGGTGCCGAGTGTAAGCGGTTCTTTGGCGTTTCGGTTCCATTCCTGGGGCAAAGGCACCATTTGCTGCAACAAAACGGTTTTTTACTTCTACGAGTCAAATTTATTCTAACGTTAACTAAATAGCAATAAGTATTTTCCTGCATAGCTATTATGAAATTTAATTATTGAAACATCTGTAAGTGTATTGAAGAATTGGAAGATATATGGTATAACTAAGAATGTTAGCACCATACGGAATTATTTCCTTTGGTTTGACCCATTTCTTGATTAGAATACAAATAAACTGTTAAATAAAAAATGTTGAGGCAGAAAAACCGATTGGGTCGATAGCCTTTTTCTGTAGGAAATAAAGATTATTTATATACATATATGTATAAAATAGTGGAAGATTCTACTTAGCCACCAGAAACCATACAGGTTCTATTTATTATTAGTTATTTGCAATAAAATTAATTTAAAATTTACCTTTACTCAATAATAGTACTGATTTAAAGTTCTTTAAATAAAAATATCAGTAAAACTGCTAGGGAAAACGTCACCTTTAAAAATTGGAAAATCTTATTAAATCTCCGTATTCCGTAATCCGTAAGTAGTTTTTCGCCCAAATTCGGAAAGCGTCTGATCTCAATTTTTTAATTGAAAGCAAATTTACAGATTTTTAATGTTTTCTTAACTATTTAATGGGTATTGCTACAGTTTTAGCTTTACATAAAGCAATATTTTCTTCGCAAATTTTCTAAACCCCATTTGAAAATGCTAAAAGATGTAATGAACGATGAACGAAAATATTGTAAGGCACGTTAACAGCGATGGTTATGCAATATGGTGAGAAACAGTTTTCACTTTTTTATATAATATAATAGCTAATATTCAGTTTTTATAAGAATCGTGCGTCTTAAGATTCATAACAAAATCAATTATGCAGTTTGCTACTTTTACGTAGTGGTTTTCTTGAAATTCACTTAAATTTTATGTCACAAAGGACTTGAAAAGTACTAAAATTCATTATAACTTAGCTTAAATTATCTGGCTTACCTGAATAGTGTTATTATTAAATATTTATCTGTTTACGCAGATTAGTAAAATGTATTGACATTGTTATAACAGCATCATCTGGAGCTCAGGTACGCTAATTTTTAAGTGAGTCAGACATTCCATAATTTCGAAGAAAGAAAATTGTAAATTAAAAATTTTTATTTGCAATTTTTGCTGATTATTTGTTACCACATTTCATACATTTTTGCAATCAGATACTCATATCAAATACAAAACGATAATCAAACTCAAACATTTTAGTTGAAATTTCAAATCAACAGCCGGATTTTAAGACAATTTAAGTAATTCCATACTTATTTAAGGTACAAAATGTAAAATTTCCTCTGTTGCAGTTAAAATATCCAAATTAATGGTCGTTTTTGACTCGGCGAAAAAATGTTTATTCTTACTTTTTAAAATTTTATTACAAATAGTAAAAACGGAAGAAAACCTTATTTCTGTTTGTGTACATAAAACATAAATTATGAGAATTTTAACACAGCGTACTATAATGGTGGACGCAAAACACCCTGATTTAATTATTTATTGCGTATCTGATAAAAGCCTTTATAGTGAACATAGAAATGTACAGCAAAATACATTTTTTTACAGAAACATGCTGTATAGAACCAACAGTAGTCAAATTAAATGTTTCCTTCACTATTACATTATTTCATGGTATGATTATAAAACATGAATATTATTTTATTTCTAATTTGCATAGAATAGTTTATCTGATTACGATCTGAAATATAGGTACTAATTACTCCCAATATGTTATGCAAATCATTTTTCATTCCACTATGCCTTTCCAAGTATGTAAATTGAGACAGATCAGATAATTTCTAATATTACTGTCAATCACTTTGCTTAGAACAAATACAAATTATTTGATAATTAGTATGGAAATTAATGCAAGCGGGAGTTACAAATAAAAAAACATGGTTGGTAGCTGATTGGAAACCAGTCACACTTTTGCCACAACTATTAAACTATCTGTTAATGTTCTGTTTTAATCAGTTTTCCGGACACTATTTGAATCTGGAGTGCAAGATATATGTTATCGTCAGCGACAACAATTAGTTAATGTAAATAAAAGGGTGTAGACGTAAAATCGAGTGAATTACAAAATGCGTAGTTATACTATTAATATCGCATGTTCCATTTGAAATTACATTATTTAGGCTCACTTTCGAACACCAGCCTATTAGTTACAAAACAACCTGCTTGGTGCATTGATTAACTTGAAGATAACATCGTTTCGTAATAGTCTTGAGAACCCCACAGAGAAATGATAGAATAAGATATATGACTTTTGTTGCTTAAAATGGAAATTTTTCCATTTTCCTAGCGGACAGAGCAAAAAATGGCGGTATATCTATTACCGGTACGTAACGTGGAATTAATTTGCAAATTACACCATGTAGTGTTTCCGTGTAGAATAAATTTTATTTAAATTTATGATAAATTATTCCGGGCAAACGATTAATCACTTTTGCAGAAAATGTTCTCATCGAACGCTAAAAGTAAAACGAATTTTCCGCATCTTTGAATTATTATGATCAGTCTTAGTAGTGACTGGGTTTAATTAACTTTATAAACTTGTTAAGTGTAATTTTATGATTACAATTGATGGTTACTCGGAATTGCATAGAAAGTTGAACTGGTTTACAATTAAGCTATATAAAGGCATATTAACTAGTGCAATTGGTTTAATTTCATTATGCATATATCCTGACGAAAACATCATGCTCTCTTAAAGGTTACTGTATTTTACTTCATTCATTCATTTTAAGTAAAATATTAAAGTTAGCTATCACCCGATAGAAGCTCCCCGACAGAACCATCCGATCAACTGAGACAGACAATTACTAACACTGGACCTTCAACTTGAAACTGATATATGCCAACATCAACGGACTCAATCACAAAAAGCATCTAATTTACAATTACATAGAACGAAACGACACCGACTGTTGTATGTTTGTGGAGACGAAAACCAAACCCGGACAGATACCGACGTACAGAAACTGGCAGTATATCTGTAGGCATGGCAATTCTGTCAGTCACGCCAGGGGCGGCGCCGCAGTGCTCCTCAAACCCATC